GTAAATAACCGGCACCCCTCGGTTTAATTTCCTATAGGGAGCATTGCTCGTGTTGCTGTTGCTTTGCATATCCTGTTGAATTTATAGGAAAAGAAATAATTTGGTTTTACTCCAGAGAACTGATGAAGGGATGTTCTAGTAGGATATTGCCTCTAAATATGGCTGGGAGCAGAGGGAGCTAGCAGGGTGTCAGCTGGAACATCAGCTTTCATTCTCTGACCACGTCTGCCTCCACTCCACCAAAGCCAATACCCATAAAGCTTCCCGAGTATAATGTGGGCTTTTAAAACAGAACAAAAAAAGTGCTTGGGGTTACTTGGCCACCTGGGCTGAGGACACCTGCTCACAAGGCAACGGGAGGTTTACAGCAGAGGGTCTGTTTTGGGTGCTGCATTTATATTTTTCCAGATTTATGCACACAATCTAGTCGCTAGCAGCTTTAGTACAACCCCATTAGCACAGGCAGTGGGAAAATTGACAGGAACCGTGAGGAATGGAGAGTTTTCTCAGCTGGGATGCTGAGGGCTTTTTTGAGGCACTTGCAGTCTTTCACCTGACACGAGTTGTAGGGCTCAGAAGGATTTCTCCAGGTCACTGAGTCCTGGGTATTGCTATCAAGGACAACTGCATCCTGTCCTTCTGTCCATTAATTTGTCCATCTTGTGCTTGAAACGAGCTGGATTATTGTTTAGCTCCACTGCTTGATTTCTGCGACATCTTCCCTTTGATCTTTTTTCTTAGCCAGTATCTTTCTGTCATGCCAGCTGTGATCTTAGCAGACCAATGCCCTGAAGTACGCGGCGCAATCAAAAAAAGTCCTTCTGAATTCTTCCCGATGACTGAACCACCTCTGACCGTCCTTGAAGCACAACCTGCCAAGCTATTCTCCTGCCCTTCTCCTCCAGAGACCTGGAGTTCATCTGACTGTGTCTTTGACCATCATCCTCTTCCTCCATCCACTCCAGCTCCAGTCAAGTTCATAAACTTCAAGCTGGCGACTGATTTTCCTCCTGTCGGTTCTTCATAATAGCGTGACTCCGGTCGACTGTCTCTTCAATGGCCTGACACTGTCTGAAATCCATGTTCTATCCCTTTTATACTTCTGTCCGCAGATGGCTCTGTGTTCTGTGCTCTCCTGCTACCCAGTGTATTCTCTGCCTATCACCTTTATACCCCAGACCTCTCTTGGTTTAGTTTTTCTTCCCAGGGACCCAACTGTTCTCCTCTTTGTTATTCCCAGTCTTTGCTTTCTTCTTGTTCTGCATTGCATCAAGCCCTTTTGTCAGCTTTTCTTTTGCAGTCGCCAGTGTTTCTCCCTGTTCCTCTTGGGATCTGACCTTTCATGGTCACACGCACCACTCCCAAAAGGTCCTCTTGTTCAGCAGGTCTCTGCAAGCTTTGGATTGTCTGTCTCACTCGCACTTCATTTTTCTCCGACCATATATGAAGATGCCCTGTCTGAACGCTTCTCAGTTCTTTCCAGCTCATTTCTAGAGCTCAGCTCGTCTCTCCGAGTTGCTGTGGTCAAAAAAAATAGCCATCCACGGGCACATCCCCTTTGTTCTTGCATTTTGTTGTCTTCATTGTCTTTTCCAGCCTTTGGATCACATCCACTGGAAACGTCCCTTCGGCACATTCCTCCCCCTTATGCACACACATCCCAAAAAATAATAATAGGGGATCAAAAGTCCCACAGGATTCCCCACCTATAAGCTCTCTTTTTTTCTGCCCCCATTGTCTTGCCTGCCTGCTTGTCCTTTGATTGCCTCCTCAGTCGGTTGCCCAGATGGGCCCTGCTCTCTCCTTGAAGGTTGACCATTGAGTATCCGTCAGAGGTAAGGAATGGCAGAAGCCTCCCTCACGTACCTGTTTGCAAACTGCGCTCAAACCACCGACTCCACAAACTGACAGAGCAAGAAGAAAGCGAGAAGAGCAAGAAGCAAGCAGGCAGAGGGGCATGTAACCCACATGTGAGACCCTGCTCCTTCCTCCTCCGGTGGAAAGCCCGGCAGTGATAGATGATACCTTCTTTAAAATACTTGGGATCTTTCTTGGTGAGCTCACTAGTGTTTTATGTCCGCGTTGTTGTTTTCTCTCTAGAGATGTTTTGTGCGCTGGAAGTGACATATTTATGTTATCGGAGAATTATTGTTTCTGCTTTTGTCCTATGTTTTATTCATTGCCAGCCATTAGTTTAATATGGCTGTGATTATGTTACTGGTTGAAAACAGGCCGCTTGTGGCATTTTACACCAAGTCACTAGAAGCCAGTATACCCAGGGAAAAATCAGGTCAGCAAAGCCACGCAGAGACGATGCTTTTGCTTCTGAGCTTACAACTGCGGGTCTCAGCTTATCGGACTGATAAAACAAAGACTTGGCTTGCAGGATGAAGCTTTCTGCAGCAACGCTGGATCAGCTCTTCCCCCTCAACCTGGTTTCTGCGGGTTAATCATTGAACTGTGAGGAAAAGTTCAGTAGTATCCTGATTTGGCCTATGTACTTCGATAACTTCAAATGGTGCCGTGATTCTTCTGTGAATATAACTATTATTAAATATTTAAATGGTGGTCGTACTCCCAAGTCCGTTCTAGGACTGTGTTCCTGTGCGAAAACGTGGCCCATCCTTTGGGGGACAGCAGGTTCAACCCAAACAAAAGCAGGTCCCTTTCACACAGCGCAGAAGCTGCCGCACGTGTTACTGCAAGGTGCCATGGGAGCCAGCGGTGTCAACTAGACTGAAAATAATTAGGGAAGTTAATAGAATAAATTGTGGATGTAGTCTCTGGATGCTGAAGCCTCTCAGCTACAGATAGGTGCACGCGAAGCGTGATGGCAGGGCCTCTCCCCTTTTACTGTGCATCTGCTGGTGGCTGTGCACAGACAAGTCTCTACCAGAGCATCATCTCTGCACTTCAGAAAGATCAGAGTATACAGAAATATTGATTATAACCTTCTGTACGTTGAAGATGATGGTCCCATCATCCACAGCAAGTGTGTTGAAGGGACAACCAAGTTCAAATCTGTAAACGTGCATAGCCAAAAGCATCGTCCTCCAACCCTACCTGCCCACAGCTAATTGAAATGGAAGATCTTTGCAGATATCTTTTCCACCTGGCAAACCACGAGGGTGTGCAAACCACATCTACCAGGTCACAATCTATTGAAACTCTTTACTCAACTCAGCTTTTCCTTCCCCCAGAGTTTCCTCAGGCAGCAAACAGCCCCCTCCTCAGAAGTCACGTTGGCCCATGTGTGGGGCCAGTGGTGGTTCTCTGATCTCCCGAGAAGCCCCTGCTTCTCTTGAGGCTTAGGAGTTTTATTAATATTTCTGTTAATAGATATTGTTAAAGCGTATTCATATTTATATTAAGTTATTTTTAATAAGCAGAAGATATTATCAAGGAGGCATGAAGTTGTAGACCGTTGCAGGAAAGCGCAGAGCAGCTTTCACACTTAGAAGTTAATCTTCTTCAAATTGCATGGAAATAACTCCCAACGACGCCTGATCCGTGCTTCGGTGTTTCGAGTCACTTCTGATACAACACGTCGGCGATGCTTCGGTTGGAGCTTTTCTCAGCTGCCGTGGGAGCCCGGGGTGGTGGGGAGGGTGTGGGTGCTGGTGGGAGAGAGGGGTCTTACTGCAGCTAACCGACTCGCGTTTTGAGAGCTTTGAAATACGGATTTGCATCAAAGTAAAACTCTCAGGGTTAGTTAAATATTCCTCTAAATATGCAAAAGAATTGAGTTACTGATGCTTGTTATTCTTATCTTACTCGGTGTCACAACATCTTTAAGTTCAGTGAAGGTTTCACTTACTAAGACGGTTGTAAAGATTTCACGTTAATTAAGAGGACTCCACTGCAAATCTGAATACGAATGAAGTTCAGCTGCTGAACCCAGGGCAGTGAATACTGTGAAAAGATCAGACATTGACAAATGTTGATTTAAAAAAACAAACAAACAAAAAATGACAAAAAAAAGCACCTAAAACAATGCTCTGATCTAGTACCTGTTCTATGAGGGAGGAAAAAGTCGAGTTCAATTTGCTAGAAGGAAAAAAGTAGATTCTGATTGGAATTTACAGTCAGAGAGGTGAATTTCTGTCGTTCTGTCCGTGGGGAGCACTGCTGAGAGTTATCCTGTACCGCCCGTGCCCAAGGACTCGGCCACATCCATCTGTTGCTCCGTCTCTCTCTCCATAAGCAGGTGATTGTTTTAATGGGGGATCTTCAGCACAGGAAGGGAGAAAATCTGGGCTTGAACCTGATCTTGGTTTTGTTGCTTTGGAGAAGTACCATCAAGTCTACTCAGCCTCAACTGGTGGTCATACAACTGAGACGAAGCTTTGTCTGAAGGGGGGGGACGGTGTGAGCGGTGGTAGGTGTCAGGGGACCAAGGCTTCCGAGGAAGGAGCTCTCATGATGAAGTGTTTTGAGTGAAAAATGGAACTTGAGATCATTTCCCCCCCCCCAAAAAAAATGCTTTTCTGTGGAGTTTTTTGTACCTGCCGGTGCTTGGAAGACTTGAGCAGTAGCTGGTAGCTTGGGCAAGCAGTTGTTACTCGGGATATATGCATTTCTCTTGCAGCCCCAACACAGAGTTGCTCTTGTCTCAACCGGGGCAAATCCTCTCCTCTTTATGTCTCCGCTCACCCATCTGGAGATAATAACACTTTCCTGCTTTTGCAAAGCAGTTTTGGGCGATGCAAAGGGTGCTGCAGAGGTTCAGAGCACCGCTCTGCCTTCTAAAGAAGGACTTTGAGGAAGGAAATGGTAATATATAGCGTTTTAACCTTGTCAAAATATATCGGACTTGGCTTTTGGAGTGGAAAAGTGAAAATACAATAGCCTAAATAAATAGCGTTTGTCCTCTTAAGCAGAGTAAAGGCAGCATGTGAGGTTGTGTGGGGGTTTTTTATTGTTGTTATTTTTTATTCACGGTTCCTTGAGCTGATTCTGGGAATTGTACTGACTGTGGTTGTGTTTCTGGAAATGTGCAGGTTGGCCAGATGCAGTGGGGCATGGAGTGAACAGAAAGAGGTTAAATTGATGGATGACCAACAAGAGCAGGATTGTGCCTCAGAAGACCAAGAAACTATCCTGATTAATGGGGTGAAAGAAAATGGTAAGGAACTTAATTACAGTACATGAGGGAGCAGCGAGAACTTGCAAGGCAACATATTTTCCTAATTCCTTTAGTGTATTTCATTTTAGGGGTTTCCAGGTATCTGTGCAATGTGGAGCAGTAGGGTAAATGAGTATTTTCTGCACTGATGTCACCCCAGCTATGAATGTGCACCTTTTTAGGTCTTAAGAAGTACTGCTTTTGCCCATGCATATACATGGTTGGAAATGATTATGTGTACATGCAGTTTGAGTTACGGATTTTAGTTTGGTTTCTTAGGGAAAAAAGTCATACAAGACTATGTAGCCCCTCTGTCTGTTGGGAATCTTTCCCTCTCTTGGCAGTTACTTACAAACCCACTAGACAGTCTCAGCAAGATTTGACGGAAGGATGCTTAATCCCTGCAAACTGGGGAAAAATTAGAAATTGGGTAGAAGAAACAAACCCAGATTATCACTGTCATTCGGCTTCCATCAACATCGTTGGGGAAGGACCAGCCCGCTCCAGCAGCCTGCCTAAAAGACCTAAACTTTGCCTGTATCTGTTTAATCAATTCCATACTGGCTTTCAAAAGCAATAACTAATTAGGACTAACAGTCCTCTGCTGCCAGAAAACCTGATTGAAATAAATATGCCTTTCAGTATTTTCTCAAGTCATTTGGACTTGAGTTGCTAGCCACGGTAAATACAGTGGCAGTCCAGCGTTGAGGCAGAGCTTGACATTTTCTTTCTTCACCATGTTTTTATGTTTAATTTCAAAGCTTTTTACATTTTGTATTGGCCTATAAATCTTGAGAGAGATATTTATTTATATATAAATTGGACCCTATTAGGTATCAGAGGCTTGGTCCTCAGACATCTTGTATGCTCACATCCTTCTGTTGTCTCAAAACAAGGCACGTAGAGGCCGGAGTTGTTCTTGTTATTACCAAAAACCTGGAGCAACTCCAGACACGTGGGTGCCTGTGAGGACCCCGCAACGTGTTCCAGAGGCAGGTGAAGTATACGCTTGCGCTTGGCCCTACGATGTAATTTTGGAGGTATCTGTCAGCCCATCTCCTTCATGACTACACATGGTCAAGCCGCGGCTGATGACAGCTGCTGAAGCTGCAAGGAGATTTTCCAGCGATGCTCCCCTTGTCTAATCTAATAGGCAGGAAAATCAGCGCTTACCTGCGCAGTAAAGATGGGTGATTTCTAGACTCTGATACCACTTCCACGAAATTCAATTAAACAGGGCTTAAAAAGTGCTTTAATTAAACACCTCTGTGTAGGAATTGCTGCTGAATCCAAAGCAGCGAGCCAGCAAGTAGCTCTGATGCCACCACCTCCCCGTCGATGGCACTGGGGACGGGGCTGATGCTTTTTGTCACCTCTCACCCCAACTATCGATGGGTGCTGGCTGCCGTGAATCCAGAGCGGCCTTTGGGCTGCTGCAGTGCCCAGTTAGGGACTGGTGTCCTGTCGAAGCTGACTGGCATCAGGGCACTTCAGTATTTTTCTGCTCAGGTTGCCCGTGTGCTTTCGGATGGCTGTCGAGTTAAACCAGGAAAGGTGGTTTTCTTTCTCCAGCATTTTCTTTTTTTAACCATAGTCTTTTGGAGTAGTGTTTACTTCAGAGCATCAATTGAATGTGCGCCTGATTTTAGGATGATATAAGCCCTAGAAAATCAGGTTTTGGCATTTCTTTTGTATTTTCAAATAAAGTTTTGGCATTTGTATACTTGCGTAGTTCACTTAGACAAGTATAAACCTAAAGAAACACCCAGAGACAGTTTAGTTTATATAATAGCATCTCTGTATACTGAATGCACCATTTGCGATTGAATTTCAGCTTTCTACCTCCCCCTTTTTTGAGTCTTATAGCATTCACAAACGTTCTTCTTTTATCCTCCAATTTTCTATGCTTCTTGTCAGCTCCAAGCTGATTTTTATTTTCTTTCACTTCTGAAGAGGAACTGCACTGGTTAATTTGTTTTGGTGCTTAAGGAAAAAAATACCACCTCTGCATTTCTGATCTAAAAACTGGTGGGAGGGACTGAAAGCTCATCTCTTTTTTTTTTTTTTTTTAACCCTTTTTGAGGGAAGGGAAGCATCACAGATTTCAAGCCAGTCAGTCTGGTCTTTCCCAAGCCAGATGTGTTGAAGGTGTTTGCAGGCATCGCATCGCACTTCTGGTTTGATTTGTATAATGCCTGGAAAGTCGTTTAAAGTCCTTAGAACGCTGGGTGGCTCTGACTGCAGCTCTCTTGTACTGGCTTAAGGCTTGACCGATGGCTCCATCCCTAAGGCCCCTGTAGCACAAAACTCCCGGGAGCTTTTGGGATGAGATTAGGGGGATTTTGACCCCCTCTAAGTTTTACACTTGGCATGGGCAGGCAGTTCTCCATCGCACCTCACCTTTTCATACTGCCCACCCCACGGGCGGTGCGGGACCCCCCCCCGAGCCTTCCCTTACCCGCTGGCATCGGTTGGCGTAGGCGCGGGAGGAGGCTTGCTTTTCTGTCAGTTTGGAATAAAAACACACATCGCGGAGGGTCGCAGCAACCGCGCAGCTGCCAAATCCCTCCGAATGCCCCGTTTCTTGCCACAGCCTGGTGCTCCAGCTGCGTTTTAAAGCGTTTGTCCCACCTCGGGAAGCCTGCGCTGCTTCGGCTCTCGCCCCCCCCGCCGTTGGTGGAGCCACCGGGTCGGTGAGACGTGACCCACCACAAAAGCACTGGGTTCAGAGTCGGCAGAGCTCTCCGGCTGGGATGGTTGCACACATCGGTATACATTTTTTTTAATAGAGAGATGTCAGAGCGTGTTCGTGAATGAAAAGACATTGTATTTAAATTTCAAGGGTCATACCGTCCGTTGAGCCAGAAGTCAGATGAAAGTATATTTGTAACTTTATTCTGCCATAAAAGAGTGCAACGAGGTAAACATAAAAAATCCTTAGGTTAAAAAAAAAAACCCTTACATTATTAAGAAGGCATTTCTAGAGATTAAGGAAGAATGGCAAACCCCACAATAATTCTAATAATAATTGCTTTAAACTCTGTGTTACCTTCTACTTTCCCTTGGCATGGACAGTGACAAAAATACTACTGGGTTTTTAAAAATAGCCATAACTTTCTGACTCTCGAGCAGTAATGCAGTTCAGGTATGTTTAAGCTGCAGACACGGCGGGGGGGCAGGCTTTGTTTCTTTAAGAATCTTATTTTTCCATTCGTTTTTTCAACGTTAATGGGAACACTTTTATTAGGCTTGTTTTGTGTTTTAATAACCTTGTCAGATTTGAAAGGCAGTATCCAGGTAACGGTATGTATATGAGGGGGAAACAATGGATGGTTTTGGTTTTTGAAACGTAGTCTTGCACCTCTTCCAGCTGGCGGCGGAGGGGAGAGTGTTTACCTCTCCCTTCCTTGCCCGTCGCCACGTTAATCAGATCCCGAAGGACGGGAGCGCGCGCTCGCGGGAGGGGCGCCTGCCGCTTCCCAGAGGGGCGGTTGGGCCAGTCGCCACCAAACCCGAGGGAGCAGGGGGGGCGCGGGGTGGCGAGCCCGGGCGGAACAGCAAGGGTTGTAAACCCTCTCTCTTTTTCTTTTCTTTCCTGCCTCCCTTTTGCCGACCCTCCCGCCCAGAATCGCACGCCCTGGACGGCGATGAGAGGCCTTGCACCGCCGCCGAGGCCGCGGTCACGTTCTCCGCCTTGACGGCAGCTCAGAAGGAAAACCACGCGTGCCACCGGGCGCTGCCTCCCCTGACTTCCAAGAAGCCCTGCTTGCTGAGCCCCCCGTCGCCGCTGAGGCTCACGGATGTACCCGAGCACGCCTCGGATGACTCCTCCGCCCACGCCATCTCCCTCACGTCCTGCGTGACAAAGGGCATGAGCTCCTGGTCGCTGCCGGGCGACTGCGAGAAGGCTCCCTTCACCATGATGGAGCCCGGGGGCATGTCGGCGTTGACGGGCGACTGCCTGATGCAGCCGAGCCGGACCTGTCTGGGCTGCTTTATTGAATCAAAGGACGGCATTGATGCAGAGCCGGGAATAAGCTTGAAAGTGGGGGATATAAATAGGGATTACGACACCTGCTCGGTCTCTGATATAGGGATTCACTGCATGAGCACAGGAGAAACCATGAGATACGGGGATCAACTGCTTTCAGACCAGCTTTTAAGCTTCCCTATGCATAAATCGAGGGCAGCGGACAAAAGAGATGCAGAGAAATCTGACAGTGATTCAGAGGACCCCACTCAGAAAAATTATTACGAGGGATTACTATTAGACAAATGCAACGGTGAGGAACCTTTACTAACAAATCCCAACCAGGAATGGGGCTATTTTGAATCTTTCATTAGTGAAAGTAAAATTGAGCTGCTTGACCTCTGCTCCAAAAATGAGCTTTCTGTAAATCTGTTTTCCGAGGAAGACGTGGATAATTACATGTTCGATGACGACGATTCCACCTTGGGAAGCGATGTCTGCTCCCTAAAGATTAGATACGAATCTTTCCAGGACAACGTGCGGGAGAAGACCACCACCCTGCAAGAGGATGCCCAGTTCAACTTCTTCCCCAGCGTGTTCAGCAACTGCACCAAAAGGGACAGCAGGAGCACCCTGAAAAGGGGACCCAGCGGTGCCACCGACCCTTCTCAATTCAAATCTGAGGAAGGCATCATCTGGGGGGAGGAGGAGGAGGATGGCGAGGAAGAGGACGGTGAGGAGGAGGAGAAAGCTGCCTTAAATAAATCTTGCAACAGCACAGAGATGGTGCAGTACGTGGGCTCCAAAAGGAGCCACTTCTTGGACTCGGTGAATTCCACGGAGGACTCCGGGGAGTTCAGCGACGACAGCACTTGCACAGAGTCCTCCTACGACGTGCTGCGGGATATCAAGGACTGCAGCCGGTACCTGTCCCGGGACCACTCCGGCTCCTTCATTCAGCAGAATTACGGGTTGCGGGCAAAGAGGAAAGTGCGATACAGCGACGACTACCTGTACGATGTGGACTCCATCGAGAACGAGAAGATCCTGGACAAGAAGGAGTGGCTCCCGGACGGGCCCAAGGAAGAGGACGATGATGAGTGGTGCCCCAAGAAACGGCGAAAAGTCTCTCGCAAGGAGCCCCCCGTTATCATCAAGTACATCATCATTAACAGGTTTAAAGGGGAGAAGCATATGCTGGTGAAGCTCAGCAAAGTGGATGCCAACGAGACAACTGTCACCCTAAACGAGGAGCTGCTCAGCAAATACAAGAAGCTGGCCCCACTGAAGGGCTTCTGGCAAGAGAGGCAGCAGAGCCGGCTGGATTTGCTCAGATCGTCTCTCTACCACAAGCAGAATTTCTATCTTAACGGCTCAGATGCTTCGTTCCTCCCTCACCCACGGAAGCGAAAATGCAAGCTAGCAAACAGGCACCGGATTCAAAGAATTAAAGCCATCGAGCAATCAGTGAACAAGCTGGGCTCTTGCTCCTCCGATCACAAGCAGCCTTGCAGCAGTAAAGAGGACGCGGGCCTGAAAGGGCTGCCGGCATTAGCCATCGCCACCCCCAGCTGTGCCAACGGATTACACGTACACGACATCGCGGGCATCGCCGCCGTGAAATGCAAATCGCAGGAACGGGAGCACAAGGGGACGGAGAGGAAAGTGCTCCGCAGGATCAAATTCAAAAGCGAAGCCAGGTTGAAGTGCAAGAAGATCAAAGCTGCTACCAGTACGGCGGAGGGCTCCCCGGCACTGGAGAACCAGGACTCTGCAGCGCGTCTGAAGGACGAAAACGCTCCTTGTGCTTCAGACAGCTCCCATCTCCCGGAGTGCCACGAGGATAAGGTTGCTAAAAATTCTCCTTTCCTACCATCCACCTCCTCTTCAGACAAGCCTCTGCCATCTGCTAATATCACCACCAATGTACCCCTGATCCCCGGAGGCTATCTGCAGACGTTGTTAGATGCTTCTGATTTGTCGAGCAACACCGGTATCTCATACTTCGCCCAGCACCCCTCCGAGCAGCAGCAGCACCCGCTCCCCAGCATCGTCCCGGCAGAAAAGCCCTTCCCAGCTCTGCAGCCGGCGCAGAGCTGCGTGCTCTCCCCGCCTTCCGAGTCGGAGCTGCAGCAGTCGCCCGGCCACTTGGAGATGGAGCAGGGCAGCTTCGGTAGCATGTGGCCGGCCGGCAAGGCTGCCGGCAGCACCCGCCAGGACTTCCCCGGCGACGGGCGGGAGGCGGCCGGGCTGCCGAGCGAGTTCGGCGGCAGTGCCGCGGGTGCAGACGGCCTCCCCGCCTCCGGATACGCTCAAGTCAATCTGAATAGCAGCAAATTGCTATACCAAAAAAATTACATGCCGGATAGCCAACAAGTGCAGTCTGATGATTCTTATCAGTCATGTCATTTTAATAATGGAGAGGGGCGCTTTCATTTCCAACGAGGTACACTAAGTACAGATGATGGCAGGCTCATTAGTTTTGATTCAGTGGGTTCATTGTCAGTTAGTTCTAGCAATTACAGTTCTTTAAGTTTAAAGTCTTGTGAAAAGGACGGCGAGGATGATATTAATGATGATTTCTTGGCCCACTGCAGTCCCAAGCTAGTGATCCAGCAGAGCATAGATGAAATCACCCCTTTGAAGGAGTCCACGGACCTTTTAGACATTTCCAACTTCACGCCTGATAAGTTCCGCCAGTCATCGCTTTCGGAGATGTCCCCTCCGGACACTCCCAACCTGTCCCCGCAGATAGCGGGCTCTGACACCAAGCCTCTGGGCACCCTGAAGGGCTTTCAGGAGAGCCCCCAGGCCACCCTCAACAGCTCCGAGAAGGTCAAGTGGAACTGTGGGGTCCTGCAGACTGAGGATCAGGCAGATAATGGGTTTGCTTTAAATAATCACCAGTTCCAGTTCCATATGTTCAACGATGAAGATTCTGTCAGCCTTCTCGAAAAGAGTCCATGCTTGTCAACATTTAATGAGCCATCTGGTCAAATTAGCACCAATAGCAAAGTGTCAAAATCGAAGAGGAAAAGTTCATCCAGCAAGAATGTGGGTACAAACCAAAGCTCTTCCCAGAAAGCCACCCGGAAAAAATCACCCAAAACCAACAAAGGAACCGATAAGCCGCCAGGGAAAAACTCCAGGCAGGCACCCAAATCTGCCAGGAAGGGGAAAAACGCGGCGGGAGTCAACGGCGAGAAGACTCCGGCTGTTGGCGGCAGGGTGGTCAACCAGCTGAGCAACGTGGCCACCGCCACCACCAAGGGCCTCGCCGAGAGCGCTCAGCATTGCAGCCCGGCCGGGGTGAAACTGGGCAAGCACAACGGGCTCTCCGGAGAGTGGGCGCTGGGAAAAGAGGGGGGCACGGGCTGGTCGGAAGCCAGCCTGGGCAACGCCACCAGCCTCCTGGACGATGATCAGAGGGAGTTTGAAGAACCTTCCAACATCCTGTCCAACATCGCGTCGGGAATGGCGGATGTCCAGAGGTTTATGATGGCCTCCATCGAGCCCTTGTGGGGGCCTGTTGGCCACAACAGCGTTCCAGACATATTCCGGTCACCGGAGTCCAACAGCCTGAAACTGAAAACTCTTAAAATTTTGGCAGGGACATCCCAAGAGTCGAAGAAGAAGGCGAACGGCGGCTCGCCGGGAGCGGCGAAGAACCACAAGTCGAACAACAAGGGCTCAAGCAAAAACGGCAAAGCCGCAACCTGCGACCCCCCCGGTCGCCCCAACTGCTCAACCGGGTACACCACGGACCTTCACGCTCCCTTTTTTGATAAAAACTATAGTAACCTGAGCACTTTAGGCAATAACGGACCTACCCATAAAAAACTCTACCGTCATAAATCCAGTTCGAAATCGCTGAGGGATGAGAACTGTAAAATAAAGCGAACGGACCGCGAACAGCCCCACAAGGACCCCCCCGTGACAGCTGCTTTTGAGAAACTGAGGTAATGCTGCACCAAACTGGCTGGAATGCCCCTTAACCTCCCTCCCACCTGCTAAGCCCGCTGTTCCTCAGTTTTTCCTTCCTGAAAGCAAAAGTTGCATGAAAAAAAAAAAAAAAAAAAAAAAGACGTTCCCCTTTTACAGTTTTGGTTGGTTTTGGTTTTGGGGTTGGTTTTTTTGGTTGGGCTTTTTTTTTGTTTGTTTGGTTGGTTTTTTAAATGCATGAAAATACTTATTACTTGCAAGCTACCTAAAAGAATGACCAATTTTCTGGCTTGGCTGGGGTTAAAAAAACTAACAAGGCTACTCTTTTCTGCTGTTCGGCTTCTTCAGTTTTTAATTACTTATTTATTGGGGGGGGGGGAGGGGGGGGGGCGGGGAAAAAAAAAAAGAAAACACGATTACACGCTCTTTTTAATGATTTTGACAAGGAAAGACTTTTTTTTTTTTTTGGAACATTTTGTAAAAAATAAACCACAAAAAAAAAAAAAAGAGGTTATGCATCCAAAAGCCAAGATCTCGAAACTTAAAAGGCTCTTTACTTTGCAAATGAGAACTCGTTCCTAATTGAGCTTCACGTGGCAATTTTGAGTGCTTTCTGGCCCCCTCTGCTGTTTTATCTCCTAACCTGCATCATCTAAAGCTGCATCTTCTGTACCCGCCCGCCTTTAGCGCGTACGCTCCGTCGTGGTGACTCCAGACGAGCTAACTAAGATGGCATCAAATGTTTGATTTTTTCCTGCAGGGAATCAGACTCCATTCTTCTTAAAGCAGAAACAACATTTTTGGGTTTTCCTGTATTTGAAGAAGAGACTCCCTTTTCTAGAAAGACGGTTGATGTTTGGTTTTTTTTTTTTATTATTATTATTTTTTTTATTTTTTGCTTTTCTATTTGGTTGGGGTTTTTTTCCCGTCGGTTCCTTTTCGAAATCTGCCTTGTGGTATGTTGAGATGTAAGTGCTGAAATGAAGAGTTTGAAATTGTGGGAATTTTATTATTTGAAAGCAAACCTAATCTGGTATTCTCTGTGAAAGACTGTTTTAAAAGTCATACTGTTGTACAGTAGTTTATGCACTATTACCCACAACAACAAAAAATTGTGCCAAACTATGAACAAGTGACTGTATTGTATATATTTTTACTTCTCTATCAACATTGGGTTGTGAGTGTTTTCTGCAGCTATGCCTTTTGGTTTTACTAGAAACATTCCAGTTGTTAAGTACTAACCACCCCCCTTTGAAAGCACCTGTAACTCACGATGAAAATGATATTGTTCACTTATACAACTTACCAAAAGTTTTATGGACATGACTAAAAGTGTGCCAAATTTACTTACCTCATTTCATGGATTCACCCTGTGGTTTAAAGCTCATAAAGGGAAAAAAAAAAAAAAAAAAAAAAAAAAGGAAAAAAAAAAGGGAAAAAAAGGGGAAGAAAAAAAAAAAAAAGAAAAAAGGAACTTTGAAACCGATGCTGGGAAATGGTAATGTCCTCTCTTTGAAACCATGAGCAGAAAAACTTAATGGTGAAATGTTGAGTTTCATTATAGGAGAGAGTTGAAATGGTGGAGGAGTTCAGAAAACCACTGACGGTAAGTTTGCCAGGAACTCAAGTGTCTGCATCTAGAGACTACAGAACAGTTGCTTTTCAAGTGTCTGTTTTCTTAAAGCAAAACCTGTAGCTGAAGATCATTTGAAATGCAAAGTTACATTGCTAATTCTTTGTATCTCAGTTTTATATATTTTATAAGAACCTGGGATAAATTCTAAAATAGTTATAAAAACAGAACTAATACGTTTCATACATTTATTGCTATTACTTTTCCTTTGAGTAGTTTCTTAAACATTTTTGATGCAGAGCCTGTCAAAAACGCTCTCCTATCATAGCTTTGGTGTTTCCTAAATGTCTAACCTTGCGATGCCAATATAGTTTGAACTTTCAAAAGCAAAGTCATTAGTTTTAAATACAACTCTGAACCTTTTCTTTGATTCAGTTCATAAGATAAGGAGAAAAGAAAAAAAAAAAAAAAAAACAACAAAAAAAAAAACGGAGCTATTTGTGATCTCACCAATCAGGGCCGGATCATACATGACTGGACTTTATTAAGACAGCGTTAAATGCTGAATGCTAAATGTATTCTCAAAAGGCCTTATTTGTAACCCTACTCACCACACCCTCGCCCTCCACGAGAATAACAAACCCAACAGATATCTATTTTCCTTGTGCAACTGAGAGCCTGTGCGTTTTGCTGCTGATTTCTTATGAAACCTTGATATGCAAGAGCCCTGCTGACTGGGAGCTATTGGGAGCGGAGGGACGCGAGGCTTGGCCACGTTGATGCAATAGAAAACGATGAGGAAGAGGAGCCTTAATAGCAGTTGGACAGATCACGTTCTCGACATGGTCGGGAGCATAGAGGTGGTGTTTTGCTGAGGAGAGGACTAGACGCGGGTTTCCTTACACGTAGGGGGTTTTTTTCAGGCCACGCGCAAGGCAAAACAGCAGAATTAGGTTACGTTAATTTAGCAAAAAAGCAGACTGAACACTTAAAATGGAAGTGGAGTTGCAGAGTGTCGATTTAGAATCAAAATGTTTTCAGCATTTTGCAGGTCCTGAGGTGTAGTTCAGGCTCAGCTCTGCAATCCCGGAGAGAACAGCACAGTAATTGCGTTGCATTCTATTTAACAGAGGAAAGAAGGAACTCTGAAAAAAAAAAAAAAAAAAAAAATTCTGAAAACCATCCTATAAGTTCATTAATTCCGCGAAAAAAAAATGAAATGCTGGCATTTCCCGGAGTGAGCTGCTCCGGGTGAGCGTGGTCCCTGGGTGCCCCGTGGGTTGCAGTGTTCCACCCCTGCTCTGGCTCCAAGAGGGAGATGAGAAGATACTCGGGATATATTTGGGAGACAAGAGCTGTGCTAGGGCTCCATCCCCGGGCGTCTGGCTTGCCTGCAGCCGCCGTGCTCTCCCCTGCTTCCCCAGCAGCTTGCTTTTCTATTCGGAGGGTCATCAGATACTACAAGCTCCGGCCACTGCCGTGGCGTTGGCGTATCCCCCTTTTTTTCAGCGTTCCTCCCGCGTGCTGCAGGATGAGGGGCTGCCAGCTCCCTTCTTTGGGATGTTCAGGCTGCTGTTTCTACAGAGACAGGTCAGGTCCAGGGCTGGGATGCAGCACGGCCCTTCTTTTTGACCCAGAACCATTGTTTGAAAGCACATTTCTACTGGCCTGCACTGTGCTCGTTATGCTTACTATTATGAATATGGGACTCGTAATAAAATACCTTGTACTGAACCAGATAGCAATATTTATTGCATTTGAGAAATGTGCAATAGGGCATGAAGATAAGGCATAAAACATATTGACTATTTTATTGTGTGTTGGAAATCCATGAATACCCAGCTAGGTGTTTCAGGACAGTGTTAATCACAAATACCAGCTGCCTTGTTGAGTTCTTCTTCAGTCCTTCTGTCGCTCTGATTTCGCTGCCATCTTCGGTGGTCAAAAATCTCCAAAAATCCCCCAAGTCCCCCAAAATCTCTGACAGGGGAGATATTAAAGAGCCCAGATTCCTCACGGCGTGGCACTGGCCTTTCTCTGTGTGTCTGAAAAAAATGATGTCTCTGCTGATTGACCCCAAAATTCAGAAATTGCCTTGAGGTAACCATTTGCTCCTCTCTTTTTTGATCTTCATAGAATGGTTTGGGTTGGAAGGGACCTTTAAAGGTCATCTAGTCCAGTCCCCCTGCAACGAGAAGGGACATCTTCAGTGAGATCATGTTGCTCAGAGCCCCGTCCAACCTGACTTTGAATGTTTCTAGGGATGGGGCATCTACCACCTCTCTGGGCAACCTGTTCCACTGTTTCACCACCCTCATCATAAAAAAATCTCTTCCTTAAGTCTTTCTCCGCAGGGCTGCTCTCAATCCCTTCATCCCCCAGCCTGTATTGATACCAGGGGTTGCCCCAACCCCAGTGCAGGACCTTGCACTTCAACCTCATAAGGTTCACACGGGCCCACTTCTCAAGCTTGTCCAGGTCCCTCTGGATGGCATCCCGTCCCTCAGGCGTGTCAACCGCACCGCTCAGCGTGGTGTCCTCTCCAAACTTGCCGAGGGTGCACTCGATCCCACTGTCCATGTCACTGATGAAGCTATTAAACAGTACTGGTCCCAGCACGGACCCCTGAGGGACACCACTCGTCACTGATCTCCATCTGGACGTTGAGCTGTTACCCACTACCCTCTGGATGTGAGTGTGCAACCAATTCCTCATCCACTGAACAGTCCACCCATCAAATCCGTGTCTCTCAAATTCAGAAAGAAGGATGTGGGGGGGGACCGTGTCAGAGGCCATACAGAAGTCCAGATAGACAACCTCTGTAGCTGGTCCCTTCTCCTCTCACGTAGTTATTCCATCACAGAAGGCCAGTAGGTTGGTCAGGCAGGACTTGCCCTTGGTGAAGCCGTGATGGCTGTCTCAAATCACCTGCCTGTCCTCCACGTGCCTTGGCACAGCTTCTAGGAGGAGCTGTTCCACGATCTCCCCAGGCACAGAGGTGAGGCTGGCAGGTCAGCAGTTTCCAGAGTCCTCCTTCCTACCCTTTTGAAAAATGGGTGCAATGTTTCCCTTTTTTCAGTCACCAGGGGCTTCATCTGGCTGCCGTGACTTTTCAAATACCATGGAGAGTGGCTTGGCAACTGCATCAGCCAGTTCCTCAGGATCCTGGGATGCATCTCCTCAGGTCTCATAGACTTGTGTATGTTCAGGTGCCTCAGGTGGTCACAAACTCGGTCTTCTCTTACAGTGGGAGGGACTTTGCTCCCCCAGTCCTCACCTTGAGGTCCACCCACTCAAGAGATGTGGGAAGAGAGGTTGCCAGTGAAGACCGAGGGAGAAAAGTTGTTGAGTACCTCAGCCTTCTCCTCAGCCGTTGTTACCAGTTTGCCGGTCACGTTCATCGGAGCGGATACACTTTCTTTGACCTTCCTCGTCTGGCTGATGTACCTGTAGAAGCCCTTCTTATTATTCTTTGTGTCCCACGCCACGTTCAGCTCCAGCCACACCTTGGCCTTCCTGACCCCATCCTTACACGACTGGGCAGTGTCCCTGTACCCTTCCCAGGGTACCTGTCCCTGCTCCTGCCGCCTGGGCATTTCCTTCTTGCCCTCTGGTCTGAGCAGCAGGTCTCAGCTCAGCCATGCTGATCTCTTGCCTTCCTTCCCTGATTTCTTACACCTGGGGATCAAGAGCTCTTGCACTCTACAGGAAGCATCCTTAAAGATCTGCCAGCTCTGTTCTGCTCCCTTGTCCCCGAGGGCAGTTTCCCCAGGGGTCCCATTGACTAACTCCGTGAACAGCTGGAACTTTCCTAAAATTCATCTCCACCTGCCTGTCGCTACCTCAAGGTTTTCATCACTTCCCACCTTTGCCTCTTTCCTTGCCATACGAGCTCACCTTTTCCACTTGCCCTTCTTGTCAGTATTGGTGAATTTTTATTTTTCACAGCGCTGCCCCCAGCTGTGGGAGGACCGGGACGTTGGTCCCATCCATCCCTGCCCACCATCTGCGCACCCCGGGGCTCCCCACGTTGGCTCCCACCTCCGCTCACCCTCTTGCCCCATCCCAGTGCACTCCCAGCCTCCTCTCGCATCTTCTAGCTGGGCTCCTGGCTGCTCGGACTAATCCAAGCCACGCAAAAAGGCGTTTATTCTGCAGCATCCTCTAAAATGGCTTTTCTACTTTATCTCCTTTCACTCCTGCTCTGGAGGCGTCCCACTGGGCACCGTACGGGATGTGATGCTGCTCTCCTGAGCCGCGCCGTGCTGGCACACTGCGGTTTGGGCCACTTATAACCGGCAGCAAAAATTTAGGAAGCAAAAACCGGCCGCTTGCGACGGGAGGTGATAAAAACCATCCGAGAGGAGACCAACGCGGGGCAATTCAGGCGGAGCCCCTGGCTCTCGCTCCACCTCTGAGCCGGAGGCAGGAGCTGCCTGTGAGCAGGGGAAGGCGGCACCGGCCGCCCTCCCGCCGAAGCATCTGTTTCCCTGCGGTGACTGCGCCGTGCCGAGGATGTCCTGCAGAAGGAAACCCTACGGCGACCTAGCAGTAGCCAACCCACCCCCAGTGGCCATAGTTTTGCTGGAGGTACTTGCATATAGAGGTTTTGTAAATAGAAAAAAAATATCAACGATGGGGATTTGAGTAATCGTTTTTTAATAATAATAATAATAATAACAAGCTTACCAGGTTTACATCTTGCTTTTCTGTTTTTTAAGCATAAGAGGGTTTTTTTCTTTTTTTTTTTTTTTTAAAAAAAAAAATAAACAGCTTGAGAAGAATGACTTGCGGAGCAGGTTGAGCCGGGCGTTTCGGGAGGCGGAGGTCAGCCGCGGCGGGCAGGGCCGTCCCGGGGCCAGACAAAGCCAAGGCGGTGGCTGCTTTGCCAAACCATTGCTGTGCAGCTTGCTTTTTTAAAAAAAAAGTCAGGATTGCTGTTATTTTTTTTTCGGCATTAAGGCTCAAATGAGCCAGGAACCAAAAGAAAGATGTTTTAAGCATTTTCATCCTTTACCTGCTGGACCATATTCTTCTTTCCCTAAGGTCCCGATCCAGCAAAGCACTCAGGTGGGAGCTCGCTCCCTGAGTGCTTTCCTGGATGGCAGCCGGCCGTTGCCGTTAAGTCACGAGAAAAAACTCCCTAGAAGTCAGTGTAAGTGAGAAGAGGATCAGGTGCGTGGACTTCAGTTGGTGCAGGATCAGGCCCTCGGTCTTACTTTCTCAACTCGGTGTGTTGGACTTTGCCGATGCAGCTCCCAGGGGGTCCAGTGGAAGTTGCATGGTTCAAGCCGCTGACATCTATTTGAGAATGTGCCTCTTTATCTCTTCAGCGTGTGAAATAATGCAAAAAAAAAAAAAAAAAAAAAAAGAAAAAAAAGAAAAAAAAAAAAGAAAATAAACAAAGTACAATGTCTGTGGTAGAAGCAAGGCTTTTCAAATCTGTTTCTCAGGTAAACAAGTGACACTAATGACAGTGGAGTAACAGCCATCTAAGGGAATTGGGATCTAAAGCAGGAGGATGCCCTCCATCTCGCAGGATGCTTGGGTTGCCAGACACGTTTACTGAGCCTTTGAACACTTGGTGCAAAAGGAAACAAGAAATGAAATTGGTATTCACCACTACCCTTCGCTAGATAGACAAACGTCCATTTCAAAAGCACAAAGGGAAGACTTAAACCTAGACTAAACCACACACACACACACACACACACACACACACAAAAGAAAGGTACCAGTTAAACTCCTTTTGTCTCTTACTCCCAGTGGGAAGCAGGGTAGAAATCCAAGGAGCTGCTCTGTTCCGCTGCCCGCGGCGCCGGCCGGGGCATTTCGACTGCTGCCTCCAGAGATGTGAATGTACTGCTCCTTGAGTTCCCTTCCATAGAACTAGAGGCACCTCGTTAGGAAGTTGCTCCTGTTTTATGGTGCTAAAGAAAACTTTTATCCCCCCCTTGAGCATTTAAGAACTATTAAATGGCCCTTTTTATGAATGTAACATATCCATTTCTGTTCCACATTTTACACTGCAATTTTAACATGTTTGGAAATGATTTGCCTTTTTTCTTTTAGAATAAGCTTTATAAATATTCTGTAGAGTCAATTGAAGTATAATTCTTAAGGATCACTCTAAGACGCCTACAAAATCTTGTATATTTTTAAGTGTGCCAATTTGTAAAATATTTTGTAAGTGTATATTTTTCTTAGAAAAGTGCTGTGAAGTGTTTGTATGTGTGAGGTTTCCCTTTTTTTGCACCTTCGGGTGTTAATAAAAGGATGTATACTTAAAAGTTTCTGGTTTTAAAAACCAAAATACAAAGAAAAAAATTAAACTTTTGTTGGGAATTTTGTAATAAAAAGAAATGTTGTGAAAGAGTGTAGTGATATTGTGTAAAGGAAACTGGAAAATTTGTGAGCGCTTTGCTGTTTTATAGATCCTCTTGTAAATTATTCTTGTAATATTTTGGGTTTTGTTGTTCTTGTTGCAAAGGTTTTAAATATTTGTGACTGACTCTGTATGGTGAAAACGTCATATTGTTAACTTGCTGAGTTTTGTTATATTGTTTATGGAATAAATAAAAAAATTAAAAATCTCATTTTAAGATCATATATGAAGAAGAAATTAAAACTGCCATTAATTGAATATTAGGAATCGTTTCTTTAAACCATTTGCTACTACAGGTGAGGACCAGTCTGGCTGCCCCCTCCGCGCACGCTCCTGGTCCCAGCCCGCCGGCTTAATTGGGCTGATGCTCGTTACCAGGAAGCGCATTAGGGACGGAGGCACGGCTGCGGATGGGAAAAAATGGGGGAGAAGTGCTCGGATTGCTTCTGCTTTAAAAAAGCGGGGCTATTTTTAATTGACAAATGGAAACTGCACGGAATGGACGGAGGCAGAGGTGCCGGTTCCCCTTCCGAGGGCGCGGAGGTAGGGCAGGGCCGTGCGGCTGGGCTTGCTTGCCCTTGCCGGGCACCCCACGGTTCTGAGCCCTGCCGTCTTAGTTTTCATTTTCTTGTGGAAAATGCTTTTCAAAATATTAAAAAAAAAAAAAAAAAAAACACAACATTCCTTTTTCATTAGCACTTCATGTTGATAGGATCAATGGAGAGGGGCAGTAATTCAGCCCGAGGACTGGCCAGCGGAAAGCAGGACACGGGCACCGTGCTCAGCAACCAGATCCCTTGGCACAAGGGGGTTGGAAACGATCCCCCCAAAAGCAGATCTGGTACCTCTACAAGCTGCCTGAGTTCACAGACGAGCGCTGCCTCCCCGGAATTGTGCCAGATGGGCACAACGGGGCACAGGGGTCCAGTGCTTC